TGGGGCTTCCCCACACTGGCTGCCCATATATCCCTTTTCCATCCCATGCGATTCTCCCAGAATCTCCTGCAAAACACCAACCTGAACATTGCTTGCCAGCAGTTTGGAATTTAAAATACTCTCAGACAGACAGAAGCAGTGAAAGGTCAGTTTTGAAACTCCTTCACCACACACCTGAAACCAATCTGGAGTTTAAATCAGGCTCAAGAAATGTTTATAATTGGATCGAAAACTGTTTCTTTTCAGCTCTGTCCAGTTGAATCAATTAATGCAAATCCCAAAAAACACAACTGCATTTTGTTTCTTTCCACTCACAACAAAAAATCTTGGGCATCAGAAACAAATGGTTCATTGCCAGCGAGGACAAAATTCTTGGCGAAGCACAGAGATTTGGAATAATTACAATACAATTACCCATCTGAAAATTATACACATGAATAATATGATCAATTGAAAAATATCTAAGTGAAACATATGAAGTGGATACCACGTAAAAGCTGATTATAGATTAGAGAGTATTAATTCATCTTTTGGCTAATCTTTAGCCGGGAAAGTCAATGTTGAGCTAGATGGAAAGGCGTAATTCACAAAGGGCACTGAGATATTCTTCATTGCCTTGATCAAATTCTAAGGCCTTTTCAAGGTATTCAATGGCTTTGCGCTTCTTCCCATCCAGTTGATGCAGGAAGCCAAGAACACCCAGGGCCTCACTATCTCGCGTATTCCTGTGAAGTCGTCTTGTTGCGATCCTCTCCAAATTTTCACGGCACTTTTTTCTTTCCACTGAATTATAATCGACTTTCATTCCTTCCAGAAAATGGGCAATGGCTTTTGATTCTGTTCTTTTCTGATGCAGTTGAAATAATCCAGCCTGTAAACATATTGCTTGCCTAACCTCGGGACGGATATCTTTCAGTTTCAGGAGATTGTTGTAGATCTTCTCTGCTTCAGGAAACTCTTCATTTATTGAACATATTCCTGCAAAATCCAGTTGTGCCTTAATAAAGGTTAAGGGCCGATGCTCGAATGCCTTTTTAAAATGACACTTGCAAAGTTTGATCAATTCAGTTTTCTGTTGAAAAGCAGGATTGTGGAGCCTTCTGCTGAGTGGATTTTTGAGCAATGACATTAGTTTCTTTCTGTAACACAGGCCGATTTGATGGTGTAAGAAGGTAGAGTTTGGAGTAATTTCCATTGCTGTCTTCAACACTTTCAAAGCTTTTTCAACATCTCCATTGTTTCTGTAAAACTTTGCAGCGTATCGAAGCACGTGTGGGAGATCAGGGGACTTCTGCAATGCTCGCTCAACCAATGTGAATGCTTCCTCCTCTTGACTGAACTCTTGTAGTTTTAATGCTAACAGCACCATGGCTTCAGCATGATCAGGATCAAGCTCCAACACACGCCTAAACTGTTTCACTGACTGAGTGGGTTCTCGACTCTCTGGGGTCCCAGAAAATGCTTCCAGACGAGACAGAACAGTGGCATAGCCAACGTTCCACTCAATGTTGTCAGGATCCTTCTTCAGGGCCTCTTTAAAACATTCCTTTGCCTCTTCATAATATTGGCCAGCAGATTTCAAGAGTGACCAACCCTTCTCCCCATAAACCTCAGGTATCATTGCTGTAAACCGAGAGGCTTCAGGAAATGGTTTACAGACCGTCTCCAGCTTGCCGAGGTAGGACTGAGCCTCTTCCAGTCGGTCCATGTGATAATAAACCCAAGCATAGTTTCCATAGGTGATGATGATTCTTTTTTCAAATTCATCTTTATGATTCTCCCTCAGAATCTTTTCAGCTTCATTTAAATTCTGAATAGCCTCTTCACAGTTTCCTTGCAGACAGTTTATAAAAGCAAGTTGGTTGTACAATCTGGCTTGACGTTTCACGCTTGTCTGTATTGAATCTTCTAATCTTTGTTTCAGATCATCCAAGTCAACAGTTTCTTTCTGTGGGGCCCACGTAAAGTGACATTGAAGCTGATCGAGCTTCACTTTCAACAAATCCTTCTGTGTGTCACTGCAAGAGAATAAAATGTAATAAAAGTTGTCTGACAGTAACTTAGATTTTCCCTGCCCTGCCTTTCTTTGTATAAAAGTTGATCCTGTTTCATGGACTCAGTGACTATGAAATCTCTGGCCATCTAAGGTCAAAGATCATCTAAGCAAATGTCTGAGCAAAATGAAAGGATTTAATTTATAACCTTGTGTGTTCTTATACTGGTCTCCTTTCTGCTGAGTGATCTGCTATCTGCTGACTTTTTAATCTCCTCCCTAAAAGCACATCTGGACATCTGAGCTATCTTCACTTCCGATCATCTGAAGAGGAGCACTGGTTCAAGTATCCAATCTGCCTGTTAGGACGTTCAATACATCTCCTTCTCTTCCCTGCATTCTGTTCTAAAATAGAAGTCTCCTCACTGAATTGTGAGGTCTATATCCAACATGCTTTCCTTCTCGCATGGACATTCACTTAACGCTCTCACAAACAGTGGTCCAACTGGTTGTGGGTCTATTACATTCCCCATTCCAACATGTAAATTATAAACATGTCCTTAAAACAGAAAGTCAAATGCATCACAAATATGTCCTCAGCATTTTAAAGTGCTACAAGTCTGTGAGAAGGTGAGTTTGAAGGTGGATGCTCATAAAACATTCACCAAACTCTAGTTTTGTATCAGGTCTCCATTTCACTCCAGCACTGACCTCAATCCAGAGAGTAAAACATTCCAGAATTCCCTCATTAAAGACTGCCTCTCCTTAAAATCCTCTCTTTTACTAAACTTTCTTGTCACCTTCCAAATATTTTCTTTCGTGTCAATTTTTGTTGATCACATTCCTATGGCATTGTATTACATTTAAGGTGCTATATAAATATCATTTGATATAAAAGTTTACGTCTGAAAGTTTTATTTATGAAGAAACAAGCTTCTTGCCCAATAGTCCAAATGTAAATTTCAATACTAAAGAATTTCAAGTAAACTTTACTGACCTCATCATGTAAAATTTGTTGATTTTCTTTCTTCGCTGTATCAGCTCCAGTGAGTCGCTTGAGAAATGTGGTTAATGTGTTAGTTTTCAACAAAATGCATGCTTTCCTTGCATGATTCACTTGAAATCACTTACTGAATGTGAACGAAACTGAAACTGGAAAATGAACTGAAGAGCTAAAGTATCTGTCTGTCCAGTACAGAATGCACTCACAGGGTCATAGTCCTAGACACTCCAGGAATTGAAAGTAAATCTCTAAGACACTGTAATGTGCAATCCTCGCGAAAAAAATTACCGGCACATTAAAATTTGAGTATTGTTTTGCTATTTCCTTGAAACTGAATAGAAAAAATTGTGGAAAAGCAATAAAAAGATTGCTTGTCTGAAAGTCATGACTCATCCAATTGGCAGGAAGCACTTATCACGAGAATGCTTCAATGCAGGAGCAGGGTGTGGCGTAAATCATGTGGTTGAATCCTGCAGGCATACTCTTAATCACTTTTGACAACACTAGCTGTCAGTACAATAACATTGCCCAGACCTTCTGGACTGTGGATTGTCAAATACACCCACCTTGAAGATACACATTCAGATCCCTTGGGAAGACCTGAAACACTGACTACTAGGCATTACCTGGGATGCCTCGACTTCAGATAGATAATCACCTATCATCTGGAACCCTCCAATAAAGTCCCCTCTGCTGAATTAGCGTTAGTGATCTGGAGAATTTTAACCTAGTCTGTTCTGACTCCTGGAGAATCGCACAACTGAACCACAAAACTTTCCCAGACCCTCCAACATCCTCTGGCTAGCACCTTCTGACATCCCCCAAATGGATCTCACTGCCCTGCCCGTCCTACCACTTTACGTTTGTTGCCAATCTACCCAGCTGGCACCCCTACCCAGCTGCCATTCTGTAACCCTGCTGCTTTCCCACGCTATCACCTGACCCAGCTCCATAGCTGATGCCTTCCTGTCACTCTGCCTGGTTGTAATTTCCTAGCCTGACAATTAACCAATTGACATCCTCCCCTCCCCTTATCTTAGCCCTAACCGCTTACAAACTTAAAATATTTATCCAATCATTTGGGACATTTAGCAGAATATGGCTGCTTGTGCTGTTAAAAAGGGTTGTGTCTTCCATTTTTATTCTCTGCCTTGCTCCTTCTGAGGATTCCAGAGCTGACTGAGATTTGAAGAATTCATCTTCAGAAACTTGGCAAGAACATTTTGGGGCTTGTGATTAGGCTTGTTTTTGTTAGTTTAACATTGGCCAGACAATGTGGGCCAGAACTCTCCAGTTTCATCACAGAAGAAAATCACTTGGCCAAAAAGACGTGGCCATTTTTTAATTGACCTCGATCATAGCTCCTCCGTCAGTCTCCTGACATTGTTTTTGAACATATTTACACCGTTCGGATTGCTCCATTCCGTAAAAAAATGGTATTCTTGTGAATATTTGCAGGCGCAGTGTGAGAGCGTATAAGTGAAGGTTGTCTCTTTACTCTCCATTGAACAGATGAACTATACCCCAGACACAAAACAGAAGTTACCTTGATTATAGTTGTTTTTGAAACAAGTGCATAGTAAAGGTAAAAAAAAAGGCCCCCAGGATGAGGCAAACCAGAAGGTGACCAAAGCCAAGGGGCTGGTGCAAACTCAACTCCAGTCAACATCTTGAGGACCTTTCCCTTGTTGTTAACCAGAGCTAGTCCTACAGATGACTGATGTAGTAAGAACAAACAGACCTGAGAATTTTTTTAAAAATTTGCTTACAGGATGAGGGTGTCACTGGCTTGGCCAGCATTTCTTGCCCATCCCTAACTGCCCAGAGGGTAGTTAAGAGTCAACCACATTGCCGTGGGTCTGGACTCACATCTAGGCCAGATTAGGTAAGGATAACCAATTTCACTCCCGAGACGACGTTAGCAAACCAGATGGGTTTTTTCCAACAATCACAATGGCTTCATGGTCATTAGACTCTTAATTCCAGATTTTTAATCAAATTCAAAGTCCACCATCTGCCATGGCAGGGCTTGAATCCAGGTCCCCAGTTTGAGTTTCTGAATTATTAGACCTGTGATAATACCACTATACCATGGCCTCCCCTATATGAAGTGTGTAATGGGCACTGAGGGGCAGGGGCTAGTCCTTGACAGGCTTCAGTTGGAGGAACACCAGTAAAAATATGGGGAGACTGGGGGCAGAGCTTCCGAACACATCAGCTACTGTGCAAAATGCTGCTACCGCTAGCCACAGAAGTCAACACACTCTGCACCATCCATCCAGTCGTTGTCTGGGATCAGTAAACTGCATTCACCTCTCATTCACATTCCCTCGCTATTTAACGAATACATCCAGACTGTCTCTTCTCAGTAAATGTTATCCACTTCCTACACACCTAAAACCATCACCCAAAGCACACTTACCTCAGGCTGGTAAACTTACAGCAAATGACTCTCCATTGTATATGCACAAATCTGGAGGTTTTCAACACACAGTGACTACATTCCAAGCTGCAGCAAACCAGAGAGCATTCACAAAAGGCTTTCTCAGAAACATTGGAATGAGTGCTCCGCAGGTGGAAGGGGGTGGTTCAGGAACGGTGAGTGCTCTCTTGCTGGCATCCGATGCAGACAAAAGAAGCCAGTTTGTAGCCAGAACACGGCAGAAGAGAAAAACGAACACCAGAAAACCAGAGAAATCCTGGGCGGAGTGAGGGTGGCAAGGGGCTGGACAGTCTGCTGAGGTGGAAAAGGCGACACACTTTTGAGAGCCGGTAGTTGGAACGAAGCAGGGAGTGACATCTTATGGGTGTGGCCCTGATGTACACACAGAGCACCTCCCTGACTGATGTGACCCCTTTCCTTCCAGCCACTTAAACAGTCTGTGATAAAGTAACAGACTGCCTACTTCTGCCTGCCTCCTCATGCCAGCCATTTTTGTGTTGCAAGCAGTGTATTATTGGAGTCAACAGGCTTGGTAACAAGGTGAATTGATCCTTGATTATTTATTTACAAATAGCGGGCATCCTGTCCATTTTGGCACATACCCACTTACAGTATCATGGGGAACTGATCAGGGTCTGCAAGAAGGTGGCGGTGTTGCCCCTCAACCCCCACGTCCTATTTTACATGCCCAACCCTGCCCCCAACTAAAATCACCCACAATGAGAGAACACGAAATTGAGCCCATCAAGTCAAATTTTAAGAGAGCCAACTCTCCCTTATAAAGTCAATGCTAAGGCCATGGTTAATTCAAACATGATGCTTAAATGACCCACCAAATCAATAAAGCAGTTAGAGATTCATTTAGAATGTTTAAGAATCCCTACAATGCAGAAAGAAGCCATTTGGCCCATTAACCTTCCCACCCAGAACCAAAACTGGGAATTAATCTGAACTGGGCACCAGCACAAAGGAAAGGGAGGAGGGACAGAGAGTTGGAGCATTAACAACAGAGTTGCCAACTAATTGAAATCAAGGATAAAACAGGACAGTTTTTATCCAGACAAACTACAACTGAGAATATCCTTGGAAATGCCAGCCTGATAGGATTCTTAATCCCAAAGGGCAAGTATGCCAACCACCAGGACACTAATGATGAACCCGGTGTAGCCAATTTACCTCATTCATCCCACCTGAAATGTCAATCCTAAATATGAGCTCTATCACATGATGTATAGTAATTTACCCAGGCTATCTCTGTCTGACAGCAGAACATATGCACTAAAAATCAGACACTATTTCAACACCCACTCCTTCCTGAACAGCCCTTCTGAAACTTCCTCATGCACCCACAAACCCTCATAAACGCTCTTCCTCTTAAACCCCACCTCTAATGCCAATCTTCCTAATGATCCTGACCAACTCCAAAGACCCACAAAACTGTTTCAAGCTCCCTCCATCTTGACCTCCCACAACTCCAACCCTAATCGGAAACACCCTCGCTCTAACACTCTTCCCCCACACCCAAAACTTAACCCAATCCAACTCAAATGCTGTCTGCCATTGCTAACACTCCCCACCACAAGCGTTAATGCTGTACAGCCCATAAACCCTGTTCCAAAATTTAAGTCCATCTCAAAACCTCCCCATCCCTAAACTACACCCCCTCCCACTCCAAAGCTTTCCTTACCTCAATGTCCCATTCCAAATACACACTCCATATACACAGTCCTAAACTTAAAGCAATGCAGCACAGTGCCCCAACCTAAAACATTCCCCATCTTAATGACCCTGCCCCCAGTGTTCCCTAAAATCTTTTATAACCTCCATTCTAAATTAAACTTTCCTTCTTGCTGGGTGCTAGACATGACTGATCTTCAAACCAAAGTGATGAAGTCCCACAACCTTTGATTGTCAGTGTTTGGAATGGATACTGGCAATAAAATCCTCAGCGGCAGCAATTAAGAGGGTGAGACCTCCCGATAAAAGTGTCAGATAGAAGTGTAACAAAACTCAGTAAAGTGAGTGTCTAAACACTGGAGGTACTCCTGCTTCCCAGGCAGTTTTCTCTCACTTGACTGTGACTTGCTTCTCATGGCAGTGATCCAAATAGTGCCAGGTAGGGAAATATAACAGGGAAATGCAGCCCAGTTCTAAACCCTGGTGAAGATTAATGATTACTTTATGAAACTAATTGACTAAAGAATTTTCGGGATTTGGTGACGACAGCTAAAGCGCTCTTATTGAAGGCGGAAACTGGGCAGTTACTACCGTCTTTGTTGCATCCACATAGAGAGAACACAGAAATATTCTTCAAACATATCGCTTCTAAATCTCAAGAGAACTGTAACTCTATGCAATAATTGTATTATATAATGGTCTCGTACCTTATAACTTAACAATGGTAAATTTTAAGTAAGTGACGTCATGATAGTCCTATAAGACCAGTGGGCTGCTTCCCAACAAGCACCAAGACATCACTTGGCTGTTGGTGAGAAGGGCCCTACCTGGGAGATCCTTCTTTTACACTCAGATTTTCTGCACCACTGCATCCTGCCTTGAGGTGGCTGCGGAGTTGGGGGAGCAGTGTAAGGCGTACAGACTGTCACACATCTCCTGCTAGAATGTGCCTTCGCAAAGGAAGTCTGGAGAAAGATGCAGTGGCTTTTGTTGAGGTTTGTCCCGAGCAGCTCAGTGACACAGAACTCTCTGCTCTACAATCTGTTCCCTGGGATGCACACCGAAACAAACATCGACTGCGCCTGGAGAATGATCAACTCGGTGAAAGGCGCTCTTCGGTCTGCCTGAAACTTGTTGGTCTTCCAGAACAAGGAGCTGACCTTGACTGAGTGTTACAGACTGGCACATTCCAAGGTCCAGGACTACATGCTGAGGGACACACTAAAGCTTGGGGCAGCTGCTGCCAAGGGGCAGTGGGGAAAG